TACGGAAATAGATCCAAATTTAGAGTCCTAATAAGACAGCTGCCTGGTTCTGCTCCAGAAAATTAGATACAATTTTTAAAAATGAATTTGCATCTTGCTTTGAACAGAAAAACTGGCTTGAAATCTGTTGGGAAACTTCCCTGCTCACTGGACTGTCGAGAGAGAGAGAGAGAACAGTCCCGGAAGGTCTGGGCTGAAATGGCAGGAAACCAGGGGCGGCTCTGTCCATCTGGGTTGAGGCCAAGTGACCCCCAAGGTTCCACAGCTATTTTTAACCACAGGGACCCTAAGGCAGTTCTGGCTGAGTTTCTGGTGTTCTTTTCACTGCCTCTGGGTCTTACTTGAGTTCAAAGCCTTGGGCTAAAAATAACCCCTGGAAAGGGAAGAAGGGAGAAGTCAGGGTTAGTTAGAGTGGAAATACAGTATTAGAACGAGGCCTTTGGTTTAGGGGTGAATCTCGCTGAATTAAAGCAATTTCTCTGGCTTCTAAGAGACCACAGTCATTTCCCACATTATGCTGAATGAGCTTGACAGCGACCAGGTTAGAGGCAGAATCTTGGGGACAGTTTTCATAGGAAAACTGGTCATAGGTCCCCCTCTACACAAGGAAATTCTTTCGATTCCTTCGAGCTCGATAAGTGAAGGTGGGGGCGGGTCCCCTCTAGGCAGCACCTTGAACGGTTGCTATGGAGATGAGTCATCTTCCTTAGAGGATGTGCCTTTAGGAGCAAGGAGATGGACTCTGGAATTCTCGGGCTCTTCTGACCTTGGAACAACTCATTTAAATGATGTCCAAGTCACTACAGGATGATCCCAAACATTTAAGATCTTGAAAGAGATTCACATCTAGTTTCAGTGCTTAAACTAGCCTGGAAAATACAGACCCTCCGGTTCAAAGATCACAAAGAGACACCAAGCCCTAGCCCACAAAAAAGGATCTCAAGGTACCGGTCCGGCCTTTCCTCCATGTCTGGAGATCAGTGTGTCCCTGACTTCTCTGCAAGGTTAACGCTGTTCACCTTAAAAAGTGCAGGCTGCGATAAAAGAAGAACCACAGACTCAGATGCCTGTCCTGGCTGCATCTGGTTTCTGACCGCGCAAGTAGCAGGTTCCTTTTCCAGATGTGGAGAAAGCTCCAAGGGAGAGACATGCGGCTAAACTCCCAAAGCCTTTTCCCTCCGGTACTGATGTCCGATGAGCCGGGGCACCCTCCTGGCTTGTGTGTAGCTCATCAGATGTGGGAAGGCCAGGGACAGTGTGTAGGGAAGCCAAGCTGCTGATGAGCCTAAGCGAGACTCGGGAAGGGAGATGCCCCCAAGGGGTTGTTTTCACAGTGTTGCAAAGGGCATAGTAATATTAAAGAAATTGGGGAAATACTAGAATGACATCTTTCCTTCCTTCAACATGGGCACTTATGTCGGATAGACGTGTTCTACACGGAAGACACACTACATAGAACATGGGGATATCGTGAGGGCTACACAGACACGTATAAATCAGCACAGTATCTGGCACAGAGTGAGTATAAATAATAAGTAGTAGTTCCTTTCCTTCGTTCCCCAAGATCAGATTAGATCCCGGATAAGGTACCAGAGTCCCCTGGAAAACACCGCATGGCTAGTGAGGCCTAAGGTTTGTCACAAAAGGAAATATATTCACCTACAATCCTCATTTTCTGCCATAGCTTTTTGGCCCCTTTCCGGGGACATACAAAAGGTAACAGAAGCCAAGGACATGCCCCCTCCCTCATTCATGCAGGTTCCAGAGGGTTATTGCAGGGACAGTGTGGGGGCCGACTGCCCCGCTCCGCTCCCACAGGTGTGTGGGAGCCCCCATCCACGGTGACAGTGAGAAGCCTAGGTCCCTGCTCCAAGCCACCTTTCCGTTACGCCCTTAAATACCTAGCTCCCCACCTACCATGCCTTGTTCTGTCCTGGCGTTTAAGCAACTTAATACAAAATTTAACTTCTGAGAGGTACAAAGAAATAAAGCTCTGGGAATTCCTTCCAGGGGAAAAAGTATGGAAGGCAATCTAATTATAGAGCACAATCTAATACTTTTTTTTTTTTTAATGAGGGAGTTGGGAGGAGGAAAGGAGATGCTTAGAACCCAATTGTTTCGTCTTTCATAACGAACATGTTCGAGTCCCGGAATCCATGATTCATAGCCGGTATATACCCGGGTTAAGGATTTAATCATTTTTCTTCCTATAAAACTGACATTTTAAACCTAGTTTCTTTTCTAAGGCGAGTAGAGATGAAACACTCTTTTAAGTTCTTGCCCGATGTCCAAGCAGGACTTGTCATCAATGTGCCACCCCACACCCCATGCTCCTGAGGTAAAATTCATACGAGGTATCATCTCTGTTTTTAGCAGGCTTACGGGAGAGTCTGGCCCTAGGAGGAAAAAACGTCCCAACGAGGCTGGAGGGAGGATGAAGTTATAACTCAACGTGGGATGGCGTCACATGGGACCCAGGGTGGGGCCGTCATCCCTGGGCCTGCTCCGGGGTCTGTGAGGTCACAGGCGTGGCCACTCCTGACCCCGGGGATCCCCTGGCAGAGGTGCTCCTGTCTCAGCGTGGAGGAGGCTGGCACCAGTACACAGGACTGAAATAATTAGCCACCGCTCCTCCTCGATCAGGTCAGCTCCTCTTTGAGTCATCAAAACCCATGGGCAATGCAGACGGGGAGAGACCCATCTCCCGGCAGGCCTGTGGGTGGCCAGGCTGTTTCTGAGGGCTGACCTAGAATTCTCCTTTCGGGACTTTATACCTTCTGTGTCCCTAACTAGACCGCACGGCTCTGTCTCAGCCTGGGCCCAGGAGCATCCTGAGGTCAGAGCGTCTTTCGGGGTTCTCGGCCAGCAACGAACACGCATTCCTTCAGGACAGCAGTGCTCTGTGGTCCCGAACCTCCGCCAACCGGGAGGAGGTCTCCAAGCACTGCTGAACTGTTACAACTCGGCCGCTCGGAGCACAGGAGGCCCGTGTAATCCAGCTGCAAATCCTGTGGACGGTCCGCCCCACCCACGGCCGCTGGGCGTGGAACCGCACCTGGCACACAGCCATCGCCACTCTCTGCTGAATGCGCTCAGGCCATTTCTCATCCTCTTCCCACCTCCATCCCTGGCCGTGTCCCGCCCGCTCTCCCTCCCTCCTTCCATCTCCCCAGCCTCCGAGATCACAGCCAGCAGAAGCTTCTGGATTATTCTTTTCACTGTCTCTGAGACAATCACTTAACATTCAGACAAGCAACGAGTGGGGGGCGAAATAGTTTTGCTTTCGACCCGTTCAGAAAGGCATAAAAAAAATGTAACGTACAAACACCAATCACTTGACAATTTTATGATGAAGAGCAACAAATGGAAAACAGTTCTGAGTGCTGCTAACATCATCGGGCATCTCTTGCCAACCCGCTCAACCACCCCAGGCCTCAGATCTATTTCTAGGTGGACCCCACATGTCTGCAAGATAAAATCACTTCTGTACTTCACAGGGGTCGCGGGAGGTGGAGCCAGAAGGCAGACCTCCAGGTGAAAAGTCCCTGTTTCACGTGAACCAGTTTCCGGTCTTACAAAACTCAGAAGTCAGGTTCCCAAGAAACACCCGGTGCTGCAGACCTGTGGTCATGTCAGAGTGTTAAACATGACTGTAAGAAAATTGACAGGAGCGTCTTCCACCTTCGGGCAGAAGGCGGTGATTTGCAGGGAAGACACTCCCTGAGATATCCAGAGGGAGTGACCTGGAGGACGCCCGGCGTGTGCTTCACAGGGACAAGGAATCCAGGACAAGGTCATCGGCAGAGCAGCGAACAGAGTCCCCCGTGGACAAGGTGAAGCTCAGGGCTTAGCCATTCGTTTCCAGTTGAGCAAAACTATTTTAGTCCCTTGGCCAAAACCATACAAAGGGCGGGAACTGAAAACCCTGGGTGACTCGACTCTCCCGGCATTTTTCTGCTTGAAGCAGGATAAAAAGCCTTACATTTTGGCGGCTGCTCATGTAACAACCGCAGCTGCTGCCCAGAATAGCTGCTGCTGGCCGAGAGAATGAAGGGCTTTTGTTGCTAACATTCGAGTCCGCTTTTTCTAGCTCTGGATGGAGTTTCCTTCCTGCCCCTTTTGTGCCCTGGGTCCGCGAGGAGATGAGGCATCTCACCATCAGCTCGTCCGTGGTGCCAGCAGTGACGTACGTGGTGCATTTTAAAGGCTCATCTTCTCAGCAAGAGCAAATTCAGCTTCTTCTATCCCCATGGTAGGCGATCTTTGACTCCCAGGTCATACGCACTACCCGCCTTTGGGGGGCAGCAGTGAGGCCGATGGCCAGGCCCTTGACATTCACAACCCCCACAGGGAGGAGCAGACTGCTCCTTCGCGTTTTTGTGGGGCGACCCCGAACGCGGACTGCCGGCGTGGCATTGAATAGGGTACCCTCCCCAGAAAGTAACAAAGACAACCCTCCTCAAAGCTATCAAATGCGTTAAAAAAATACAAAAGTTATTTTCTCCTTTGGATGGCTATTTACTTGTGACAACATTTGTTAAAAATATTACTTCTGTCTTTGGGAAGAGGTCATTCTCTTCATATAATATGGAAAAATAAACTCTACCGAACCCACAGTTAATGCTCCCCACGACTGCCCCGGGGCATCGGCTTTCCAGACTTCGGAACCAGTATGAAGGTGCTAGGTTTCCAGGGAGGGAAACACTTCGCACTGTTAGCCAGGGCTCCGGCCCAGTGAAGGGAGAGAATCAGGAAAGAGGATGCTTTATTTGTTAATAAAATGAAGGTAACAGGGTGGTTCCGGGCCCTGCTAACATGTCCTGGGGTGTCCCCTCATCTCTTCTGATCACTTGCTGCCCAGCTAATGCCTGGTAGATTATTCCTGGGAGGGTAGGGAGCCTTTAGGTCAATCATCGGTGACATTGCAAAGGAGGGCTCATCTTCCACACCCAGGATCATCGTAAAACACTGAACTGGATGAATGGGAGAAGACAAGGATACATAAAAACAGTAAAATGTTTATTTTCTTAGAAAAAAAAAAAGTGGGGAAGAGGGATTTGAAATGATTGTGATCACACCCCCCCGTCTGCATCCGAGCAAAGCCAACGTTGCAAGCTTAATCCTTGATTCGGTCACCCGATACATGACACCCTGCTGCGCACACCCGGGTCACTTCCAGGACTCAGGTCACAACATGCGTTTAATCAGTAAGAGCTTCTCTACTTCTTCTTGGCAGAGAAACGAGGCTTGCCATAGCAACCACCCCACCTCCAAAGCGCAACATGGCCCGTGAGAAGCAAGGCTCTGAACCGCTCTGGGAGAGACAGGGAAGAAGGAAGGAGAGGGGGAAGGAAGCGCGGAGAAGCGGACCGCTCTAGAATAGAAGTTTGATATCTGACTTCACCACTACCTCATCTTATAGAAAATAGGTTGGAGAGCCTCTGTAAAACAAACGGTATCTTTAAGGTGAAATCGCAGAGTTTTGCTGCACACCTGGACACAAGAGAAGTGAGAAGTTGCAACAAGTTTTAACTAGCAGCAACAAAGAAAGTTCAATGACAGTTGTGTTGTTTGTTTTTAGCAATATCCCTCTGCAAGTTCATTAGGAAACACTGTAACTGAATGGGGCATACGATATGGAACGATCCTTTCCTATGGCGCTGCTCCTTGAGGAGGACCGACCTCTGCAAAGATTTCAACTGGGTGCAACCTATTTACACAGTAGTAGCTCCTGGGGTGAGTGGAAGATGGGTGCTATGTGATGTCCTCTTCTTCCGAGCAGTAATCTCGACCCTGGAGGGGGAAAGGAAAAAGTCACATGTGAATGAGAAATTCAAAGCAGAGCCTGGGACAGTGACTCGTATCAATGTTCTCTCAGCACATGTCTCTTCACACCAAAACCCAGATTTTCATCAGTGACCACTGGGCACAGGATAGACACATCACAAATACTTGCTTTATAAACTGTATCGACCTCTAAGCATGGAAGTTTTACCAAGCCCCAAATAAGCCCTTACTTTATTTTTATTTATTTATTTAAATTTTTTTTTTCTTTATTGATTTTTAGAGGGAGAGGAAGGGAGAAGGAGAGAGAGATAGAAACATTGATGAACGAGAACATAGATTGGCTGCCTCCTGCATGCCCCCCACTGGGGATCAGGCCCACAACCTGGGCATGTGCCCTGACCGGGAATCGAACTGGCGACCTCTTGGTGCATGGGTTGATGCTCAACCACTGAGCCACATCGGCTGGGCATCCCTTACTTTATATTGCTAAGAACTTATACTAGGTACATACAAGACTCAGCTTTTCACCAGAAGATCACCACGAGGATGATCCATTCAGGAGATCAATTTCTCATAAACGAGAGAAACTCAAATGAACAATGAACCAGCAGCTTTGTGCTGGGGCCAGGGCTGCTCACGTTTTATGGCTACATCTCCATGCCCAGAATTTACAATTTGACAGACGGGGATGGAATTACCCAGGGATGTCTTAGTTCTAATCTACTCTCAACTAAGACAGGATTTTAAAAAACTCAAACAAGGGACTGTAACATATCTTAGGACTGTGTTTGGTGTGTGTGGGATGCACAAGAAAGGCGAAACTGCTCTGATTCACCGGCTGGCAAAGCAGGTCACTCGAAGGCTTATGGACTCCACAGCCCTTACTTTGGAATATATTCCACCTTCTCCCCAGCAGGGCATGTACTCTGTGAAGGTGCCGCTACGACTGGGATTTAAGCTCTAGACCTCACTGGGCTGGGCTGCCTCGGTCAAAGCACATGGCTCCCTGGTCTGCAATCCATCACAGGAACAAAACGTCTGCCCGCATCCCAGTGTCGCGCACAAGGGCTTTGTAAAAGTCACCATTGATACCGTCTGCGTTCTTTGAACTTCTTCTTTTAAAATACACACTGCATGTTTCGCCCTGGCCAGTTTGGCTCAGTGGTTAGATCATTGGCCTGTGGACCCAAGAGTCTCAGGTTCGATTCCAGTCAAGGGCACGTACCTCGGTTGCTGTTTGATCCCTCCCTCCCTCCCTCCCTCTCGATCTGAAAAAGTAATGGGGAAATATCCTCAAGTGAGGATTAAAAAAAAAAAAAGCATACTGCGTGTTCCAATTTGGGGGAAAATATTCCTTTAAAAACAGAATTTTCTAAATTAGTGGAACTTATTCTTAAAAATATCTAAAACTTAACAATTTTGTATAAAACTATCAAATGCATTGCATGTTTCTTTGTCTCAATATCTGCACATTGGGACTATTTCACCTCCACCTCATATTTAAGTGTCGTTGTGATGAATTATTGTACCATTGGGCTGAGAGTGCTCCTGGCTCTGACTTACTAGCTCTGGGATCTCGATTAGTTACCTCTCTGTGTCTGTCTCCCCACCTGTAAAATGAAGAGAACAACAGGACCTACTTCACATGCTTGCTGAAGATTGAACGAGTTAATAGTAGTAAAGTGATTGACCACTGCCTGGCACAGAAGTCATACATGTTGTGTGTGTGTGTGTGTGTGTGTGTGCATGCATATGCACACATTTGGTAAATTAAAAAATGCGACCACACAACGAAGTCGCCAGGGGGTGCCTGTTCCGAGCCGAAATGCCTCCAGATGGCTGCCCTCTGTGACTGCCATGCGCTTATTAGCATGTTTGAGTTTCCTCCGCTCTCCGACTGCCCGCTCTCCCAGTTCCTCGCGAGTGTCTGGCTCCAGTGTTGTCTGCAGACTTGTTCTACTTGCTGCGTAAAAACGCCTCCTGGACAGAGACACTGGGCGACAGCCTTCCCGAGAACAGCCATGTGTGCTCAGCAGTCCCCCCACACTGACCGGCTCCCTGGTGACGCGTCCCAAGCAAATGGTGACCCGTCCCTGGCCTTGGCCCGGACCACTCAGGAGACACTCTCGGGCCACGTGCGGGAGAGTTAGAGAGGAGAACCTCGTGGCCCCTGACCGTTGGGAGTCGTTCTCCAGGGTGGAAACAGGACACATCGAACACAGCAACTTGATGTTAGAGACACTGTGATGCCCTCTGACCTGGTGGCGCTCCCCACACCATAGCTCACGGGGCCCGGGGGATGCGGAGGGGACACGGGGTGTCTGGCTGGGGGGAAACGCGGGGCGCGGGAGTTTTCATGAAGAAAGGCCAGAGGACATACCCAGTGGACACACACACTGTTGTATGACATCAGGCAAATTACTGGGCGTTGGTTTCCCGGGGATAATCATAGTCTTTGCCTTGTAGGGTTGTGATCAGGATTAAATGGAAAAAGTATAGTGTCTGGCAGGTAGTCAATACATATTAGCTGCTGCTCTTATTACCATACTTAAACCTCGTCCAGCCCCTGGCAGAGGAATAGAGACCTCCTTCCTCGGGGCTGACAGGTGAGGACTGCGGTCACAAATCATGATCTGACAGGTGTCACTTCCTCCCACCTCAGCCTCGCACCCGAGACAGGCCAGAAGTTCATGATTTCGAATCAAGCTTCTATGACAGACACCTAAGTCCCTTCCCTTCTTCCGTCTAAATGAGGCCTCACATCAAAGTGAAGGCCCAGCTGGCCAGTGTGGGGTTCAGAGGGTACCTCACCCACAAGGAAGACGTGGACCCGATGACAGACAGACAGACAGACAGACACACGTGAACTGGGGCACTCGCTGACAAAGCCGGGTCTCCGACTCCGGAAATGAGTTACAGGGTTATGAAGCAGAAGGCGCATGTCAGACCCTCCAGGTTGACTGTGACCATAAGCAAATGCTCCCTTAGAGGAACAAATCTGTACAAACTGTGTAAACTCAAAACCGCAACTCATTTCCCAAGCATCTGTTCCTATGAAATGACTAACATTACTATGAGGAGGAGACGGAAAACTGCATGCGTTGCTTCACAGACATTATTTCACCGGTGTTCACACCGACCAGGACCAACCCTGCAGGGAGGGAGTAGTGCCCTGTGATTTGTGGGCAAACCTCAGATGAGCCCAGAGCCCAGGGTCATCCTTGCCTTTCCCCCCTCAACTATAGTAAGTTGGTAACCAAATTCAAATCAGTTTCCTTTTTGTTATGATCACCTGTCAGCCGCTCTGAGAACCAGACATTTTATACACAGAAAACTTGGAAATCAAAATCATCAAGAGTATGAGCTCCCAGAGGGCCGGTGTCATTTCAAGAAACGGGGACGTGACAGAGCTGCTACTTGAGTGGCCTCATCTCAGCCTCACCTGGTGCCCCCCTGCACACCAGCCCCGGCGGGCAGGGCAGGGAGCTGGCGTCTGCAGCGTGGCTTCGTATCTCACTGAAATGTTTAAAGAGCACCTTGGAACCTTCGGCTGTCAGAGGCAGGAAGTGGGAGCAGCTGGGTTTGGGAGCCACACTGCCATTCTCGGAGCTGAAGCACGCCCCTTCCCCGCAAAGGGACGAAAATAAATGGAAGTCTTTGTCGAGACGCTTGCTCTACGCAGTTGGAATGAGGGACTGTCGGGCACAATTCCGCCCTTGTGCCAACGCCGCACTGGAAGCCACAGAGAGCCTGGTCCCTCCCAGGACCCCACAAGCTGGAGGACCGGAAATGCCCGATGATACTGACAAGGATGGGTTGTTGGAGGAACCACGTGGGCATTCTGGTGCAGACACAAAAGCATCGCAGCTTTTGCTTCCTGGAATTTCTCTGCCCATGCTGCTCCTCCCCTCTGCCGTGGTCTGCACTACTTTCTTGGGAACTTAAGGAAGTTTTTATGTCAACTCAGAACATACATCTCCCAGGTTCTTGGGTAAAAGCTCTTGTTTGTTGAAATGGCTGGGCTAAGAAGTAGGGATATGAAGGAGAAGCAAAGGAAAGGGCATTGTCCTAGTTTTAAATTCTGCAAGTGCAGAGAAGTTGCTCGAAGAGTGACTTCAGATAAGGACTGTCCTCCTCAAGTCACGTTCCAACAGTCTGGGACTGGCCGTGAGGTTCCAGGTGCGATTTGATCCTATTGGTCTTTAGTACATTCTTGTGGGCAAGTGTGCACTGGGCCTGATACATACCCCTCAGGCATATAACAGTCAACTGGGAACTGTGTATTTTCCCACTGGAGTAGTTTAGAGCTAGAAGAAAAGTGCTGAGAGGGAGCACTGAGCCTCAGTTTTCCCATCTTTAAAATGGGGATGGTTAAGCCCTGGAAGGTTTGGCTCAATGGGTAGAGGTTGGCCCACGGACCAGAGGGTTGTGAGTTTGATTCCCGATCAAGGGCACGTAACCTGGGCTGCAGGTTCAATCCCTGGCCCCAGTCAGGGTCATGCGGGAGGCAACCAATTGTGTCTCTCTCACATCAACGTTTCTCTCTCTCTCTCTCTCCCTCCCTCCCTTCCATTCTATCTAAAAATTAATGGAAAAATATCCTCAGGTGAGGATGAACTAACTAACTAAATAAAATGGAAATGGTAAGACCTAACTTGCAGTGTTGTTGTGGGAATTAGAAGTAAAATACATAAGGTGTTTAACAAAGCTTGGCACATGGTAGGCACTTAATAAATTACAGCCCTTAAGATGATATTGAAAAATGAGATCAATAGATCTAATAGTTCATAAACTGCTTAAGTGAGAAATTCGGCCCATAGCTGGATCAATCAGTTACATTCAGGCCCTTGGTCAAGCCCTGTACCTCAGGGCCTGGGAGCTTGCCTGTCCCTCCGTCCTGGCCAGCTGCCCTTGTCCCCAGCCCACCTGCAGCCAGCACTTTTCATTTTCTGAATCTCTGCTCAAATGCCACCTCGCTGTCTTCCCTGGGCACCCTAGACCAACAG